CATATATGAGCATACTTCAAAACGTTCGTGAAAAATAATGGAATTCAAAGATGAGTTAGTTTTGGTGCAAATAGCTTTGAAATCCATGTTGACAAGGGGTCTTCAAAAAGTCTTTGGAAATTATGTGTTATAAAAAGTTATGCATGAATTTCAATTTTAGAACCAAAATAAACATCTTTTAATTCCATTTTCCTTGAACTTTTGAAATTAACCCCAACTATATAATAGAGAGAGAGAGAGAGAGAGAGAGAGGGAGAGTCTTACATTTGCCTTCAGATAGACCTACACACCCTTTTTATTTTCATTAAAGTTGCTACATAGTCTTCCCAGTTATTGCTTGTTAAACAGCTACATAATGTTTCACTGAGTGGATGTTGTAACTTTGTTTAACCTTGTTGTTTTATTCAGCATTCCTGGGCAGCTTCCAAGTTTGGGCTGTTGTTGATCACAGACAGTGTCTGTGCTGGGCCTCCCCCCTGCCTCCCTGCCTCCTCTCTGGAAGGAGCCCTGTTCTCCTGAGCCAAGTGGGGGCTGTGGCCCAGCCTGTGCCTATCATGGTTGCCTCCCCAACTGACTGCGGTACCTGCCCCAGGGCTGGATCAGGGCCAGATACAGGTCCGGTCAGGCCAGGCTGTGGACTTCCTCCTAACTTGATCAGAAGAGGCAGAGAAGATGCTCAGAGGCGCCTGGGTCCGGAGCAGGAGAGGAGGGCTCGGCTCATTGCCTTTGGTTGCAGTCATGTGACCGAGCCGTTCCATCAAGCTCCAGCAAATCCCTCTTCTCTCATGCAGTTAGATTTCTCACTGCAACGGGGGAGTCTGGACAAAATCAGATCCAATGGAACATCCCTCCTGAGTCCCCTTGTTAAGTTGTTCCTTAGTTTAGAACAAGGCAAGACTTGAAAGCCTTACAGCAGGTGTTGGTCAGGACAAAGCCATGGGCAGAGCAGGAGTGTCTCCTTTTTATTTATAACTTTTATCTGCTAGTTTACTCCACAAGTGGCTGTGATAGCTAGGGCTGGGCCAGGCCGAAGCCAGGATCCTGGAACTACATCTGGGTCTCTCATGTGGGTGCAGGGGCCCAAGCACTTGGGTCATCTTCCACTGCTTTCCCAGGCACATCAGCAGGGACTGAATTGGACGTGGAGCAGCCGACACTCAATCTGGGTCCCATGTGAGATGCCAGTGCTGCAGTCTCAGGCTAACCTTTCATGCCACAAAGCTGGCCCCAGTGTGTGGGTTCTGAAGCTGACACTGCCATCTTAGAGGGGTAACTTTGCCAACCTCAGTTCTTTTGTCTGTGAAATGGGATGAAAATCATCATATCCCACCTCTGGGAATTGTTTTGAGTACGAATGAGGAAATAAACAGAAGGCCTCACAGTTGTGCAAAAGCCTGAGAGAGGGTGCTCCATGAGCCTTACCATTTATATTCTTTCCATTATAAAGCCACACTCTTAAGAGTGTCCCAGGTCATTATAAACATGGGATTATCATATGATGCAGCAATTCCACTTCTGGGCTTGTGTCCTAAAGAAGTGAAAGCAGGGACTCAAGCAGACCCTTGTACACCCATGTCCACAGCAGCATGATTCACAGTAGCCACGTGGTAAAAACACCCAGAATCCATCGGCTAACGAATGGACAGTGTGGTGCATGCCTATGATAGAATATTCTGCCTTACAGAGGAAGGAGATTACATGGAAGAATCATGAGGACCTTGCACTAAGTGAATACACCTGGCAGAAAAGGATACACATTTTATTTTAATTTTTTTTTTATTTAATTTGAGAGGCTGGAAGAGAGAGAGAGGATGCTCTCATGTACTGGTTTACTCCCCCAAAGTCCACAATGGCTGAGGGTGAGCCAGGTTGAACAGGGACCTGAGAAGTCAGTCCAGGTCTCTCCTGTGAGTGGCAGGGGCCCAATGACTTGGACTATCGCCTGCTGCCTCCCAGGGCGCATGCTGGTGGGAAGCTGGAATGGAGAGTGGAGCCAGGACTTGAACCCAGACACTTGGATACGGAATGTGTCTGTACCCAGTGGCATCTTAGCTGCTGCACCAAGGATTAATATTCTGTGATTGCACTTGTGTGAGGTACCCAGAGTAGCAGAGTAGCAAAATTCAGAGACAGAAAGTAGAATTGAGTTTACCAGGGACTGGAGGAGTAGGAGGGTGGGGGATTGGGGAGTGTTGCTTTCTGGGTCAGGGAGTTTCTGTTGGGGATGATGAAAAATTTCTGGAAATGGATAGAGGTGATGGTTGCACAACATGTTGAACTTAATGCCATACAACTATATATTTATACATAGCTAGAGATGTCTGGCATTGTGGCATAGTAGGTTAGGCCACCATGCTTCATGGTGGCATCCTGTATCAGAGTACCTGCTCAAGTCCTGTCTACACTGCTTCTGATCCAACTTCCTGGTAATGCACCTGGGAAGGCAGGGGAAGAAGGCTCAAGTCCTTGGGCCCTTGCCATCCATGTGGGAGTCCAGGATGGAGTTTCTGGATCCAGGCTTTGACCTGGCACAGACCTGGCTGTTGCAGCTATTTGGTGAGTGAACCAGACAGTGGAAGATTCTCCTTCTCATTCTCTCTCTCTGTGTCTCTTGAATAAATTAGGTCTTTAAAAACATGATTAATAAAAGTGTGAGGAGAGTTACAGGTGGGAATGGGGTGAATACTATAGTGATTGTCCTGGATTTACTCTTCACAGACTGAAGTTAAATCAAAATGGAATATGAAAAAATGGACCAAAAAGGAAGTTGGGTGTGTGTGCGTGTGCCTGTGTGCATGCAAACCATTCACAAGACCCAAGGCTTTACCTGTTAGATCTACTGGCAGGGGCTACAAGGTGCAGGAAAAGGAGACTTGTGTGCACACCCAGGCACCTTGGTAACTTGGTGGGCAGGGCAGTTTGTACTGGTCAGATGGGTCCAGCCCTGGACCAGAACCCTTATGAGTCACAGCTGAGCTCCCAGGGAACAAAGGGATGTGGCAGGGAGGGGCTAGGCTGTGACTCAGAGGCCACTGCTGTGGACGCTTCCTCCAGGCCACCCCCAACATGCTGGCTTCCCTTGTATGGGGAAATCAGGTTTCCCACTTCCTGCACAGCCTAAGGAGAGGCTCCCCTGCAGAGCCCAGAGTTCTTTGGAAGTGCCTCTAAAAAAGCACAAATAGTAGCAGCTGCATTGATTAAGCACTTGCTGTGTACAGCCCTGGGGCTTAGTTCATCTCTTGCATGCGGCACTCCCATCCTTCCAGGGATTCTTATGATTCTCACATTCTGGGAGAGGAAATGGGCTTACTGGGGTGCAGCACCTTGCCTCAGGTCCCAGCAGCTGGCAGAGCCTGATGTGAACCTTTGCTGATGCAGGAGCCTGGACTTGTCGCCGTGCTGCTGTACACATGCACATGTTCGCAGAGACATGTGGGAGATGAGAGTCCAAAATGTGACCCACCCCGGGACAGACACTGCCAGAGAAGGCTGGAACATTCTTTCCTTGTGTTTGTGAAAAGCCTTAGAAAATACAAGTAGTACTGTACCTTACAACAAAAAAAGACACCCGTAAATGTGGTTGCGTAAATATGCATCCGTAAATATGCAGCTTTGGGATCCTGAGGAGTGCGTGACGTTACCCACTGGGCACTGTGTAGCCTTCATTGCCCTAGACCCTCTGGCTCCTCTGCCCAGTGTGCGTAAGATGGGACTGGCACTTCAAAAAGACTGGTGCCTTCGAAGCAAGTGACCACAAGTGTGAAAATCGATAAAGATAGATAGATACAGTATAGATTGTTCTTCGAGGGAACAAGCCATAACACTCATTTCCACATCATTTTCTCTCTCTCTGTGTGTGTGTGTGTGTGGTAAAAGACCACTGTCTTATTTTGTGAAAACAAATTTGCTCTTTTAACATTTTGCGTGGACAAGGGTATGGGAAGTAGAAACCGTGCCTTGCGTGATGGTGGTGTCTTGATGGATGTGGCCCTAACAGCAGCCACGTGGGCCAGTCGTTTGCATCTCATTGCTGGAGCTGCATCAGAGGCACTAATGTGCTGGCACAAGGAACTCATCTGGACGGCCCCTCCTAAATCTCCACTCTCAGCAGCAGAACTGGTGAGAGGAAATGAAGCCCTCGCTGTCCATTACAGTAGGGGGCATTTATTCATCACTCCGTAAGTGTGTCTGGAGGGATACCATGGTTGAGTTTGCCTCACTGGGTGGAGTTCGGAAGAAATATGATTAGGAATGAGTGGAGCAATCAAGTTGTACTCTGTCTACTTTTGTATGTGTTTGAACTTCTGCATTTAAAAATGATACGTATGTCCATGCGTGTATGTGTGAGACATGTACTATATGTATAAAATAGGTCGCCCTGGGCCAGGCCCCGTGCTTGGTGCTGGGGAGGCCATAGTGGCAGAGACTCCTCTGGAGTCAACAGGCTCACTCAGGAAACCGATGGTCATCAAATGGTCACGTGAGCGCCAGCGACATCACAGCCGGCTCAGTGCTGAGAAATCGTGAGCAAAGCTGCAAAAGCCTGCAGTGTGGGGCCCGTGTCACCCAGCATCAGAGACCGAGAGTCTTCAGCTTGGGGTAACCCCAAGGGGACAGAGGAAGTGAAAGTGTAAAGAAGGGAGGGAGGGGGGGAGAGAGAGAGAGAGAGAGAGAAGGAATCTCCCATCCTCTGGTTCACTCTTCAAATGCCTGCAATAGCTGGGACTGGGCCAGGCAAAGCCAGGAGCCTGTATCTCAGCCTGGGTCTCTCACAGTACTTAAGCTGTCACCTGCTGCCTCCAAGTGAGCATATTAGCAGGAAGCCAGAATCCTGGAGCTGAGCCTGAGACCTAGGCCCTCTGAAATGGGAGGCAGCTGTCTCAGGTGGCATCTTAACCACTGCACCCAGATCCCCATGCCCCTCCTAGAGGACTTTGGGGTGCATGTTCAAAAAGACTGAGTTCCAGCAGAATCCTCCCACGGCTTCCCATTCCGTAGACTTTTTCTTTTTTCTTTTTTTTTTTTTTGACAGGCAGAGTGGACAGTGAGAGAGAGAGACAGAGAGAGAAAGGTCTTCCTTTGCCGTTGGTTCACCCTCCAATGGCCGCCGCTGCAGCCGGCGCACCGCGCTGATCCTGGCAGGAGCCAGGAGCCAGGTGCTTTTCCTGGTCTCCCATGGGGTGCAGGACCCAAGCACCTGGGCCATCCTCCACTGCACTCCCTGGCCATAGCAGAGAGCTGGCCTGGAAGAGGGGCAACCGGGACAGAATCCGGCGCCCCAACCGGGACTAGAACCCGGTGTGCCGGCTTAATCAGCGTCTTAATCCCTGAGCTGCATACCTGCCCTTGTATTTTTGTTATTCCATCACTTGGCCCTAATTTACAGTTAGGAAACCAAGAAAATCTGCACATTAAAAAAAGAAGTTTGGGGCCCAGTGCTGTGGTGCAGCAGGTTAAAGCCCCAGCCTGCAGTGCCGGCATCCCATATGGGCGCCAGTTCAAGTCCCAGCTGCTCCACTTCCGATCCAACTCTCTGTTAGGGCCTGGAAAAGCAGTAGAAGATGGCCCAAGTACTTGGGCCCCTGCACCTGTGTGGGAGACCAGGAAGAAGATCCTGGCTCCTGGCTTTGGATCAGTTCAGCTCTGGCCATTGTGGTCATTTGGGGAGTGAACCAGTGGATGGAAGACCTCTCTCTCTGGCTCTGCCTCTCCTGTAACTGTCTTTCAAATAAATAAAATAATTATTTTAAAAAATAAAGTTTGGCATAAATTCAGTTGAGGATGAGACCTGCCGGGAGTTATTCATAGCACATAGCAGAAATGCTCACACGTGAAGCTGCAGCAGTATTTATGAATTTGTGGGGGTGGGGCACCCCGACTCTGCAGGGCTTGTGCAGAACATGCTGTACATACTTCGTATTCTGTAGTACACATGGGTCGTAAATTCTGAAACAGGCTTGGCCTTGAGGGTTGTTGAAGGGGCCGTGGACCTGTCTGTCACAATTTATTGTCCAGGTGGCCATTTCTTCCTTCTGCTGATAGGAAAGGGTGCTGCCATGAATCTCCTCTACAGACTTGGCACGCAATGGAATGGCATGCACATTGCACGTTTCGTGGCTGTTGGCCAATTGCCCGTTGAAGAGATGAGTGAAATGGACAGTTACACCAATTGCACGTGCAGGTCAACTGGATCGCGTGGTCCCCTGTCTCTGAGGACCTCCATGGTGGTCCATGGTTGTCCACAGTGTCTGTGGCTCCCCTGGATTTTGGCCTTGCTCCCTTCTGTGGGAGCATTTCCAGCCTGGCCCCGTCTGTCCGCCCAGTCCCTGACTCCTGGCCTTTCTTCCCGCCACGATCCTTGGCTCTCAGAGCGGCTGCAGTCAACAGCTGACTTTCCCCTCAGCCTCCGCAGCACATATAGATACTGATGCCTGCCCTTCCCCCAGGCTGAGTGCTGTGGTGGCCCTGGGGGCATGGAGATGGCCTGCTCTGGGTACTTGCCTTATAGGGGAAGCAGGGGACCTGGCGTGGTTCACATCCCCTTCTGATCAACCAAGCACAGCTGGACCGATCCAGTTTCCAGAGCAGCCAGCGCTGGCCTGGCTGCCCCAGTCACTTGGGAGGGATTGTAAAGGTGTCAATTCCTAGGCTCAGCCTTGGTGAGCATGCTCAGATGGTCCCCGCGGGGCAGAGCGTGACACTGCCTGGACAGCTGTGAAAGGTGTGGGTCCTCCTGGCTTTGACACCTTGTGACTTTTTCTCTGTCTTGTCCTTAGCCACAAGCCCTGGCATGTCCTGCCATGCTGGGTGAGGTCACCACGCAGTGCTTCTGGGTCGTGGCAGCAGCTGCTCCCCTCTGGCCGTCAGCTGGAGTTAGAGTGCCTGACGGGGAGAAGTTGAGCGTCTAACACGAGGGCACGTGTCTTCCTGGATTTGCTTTGGTTTGCTGTCTCCTGCTCCCTGCCAGCCTCTCGGGATGGTGAGAGTGGGAAGCAGCTGTTCCCACCCTAGCAGAGTGCAGGGCTCGAGTGCCAAGCTTTGCCTCAGAAGTGTCCACCTGTTTCCATCATCTGCCCCTCCTTGGCGATGGAGGAGTGATTAGGACCCAATGGAAGGGCCCTCCCTGTCTCCCTGCCTCCTCCAGATTTCCCCGTCCGAGGGGAAGAGGAGCCTTCCCACTCTGTTCTCCCGAACCCAAGCACTAGGTGAAGGGTCAGCAGCCGGCAGGATGGAGGCTGATGCCACATGGCTGGGCTGGCCAGGTGCCAGAGTGCTGGCTATCCTCTGAGTGTGTGTCTCAGAGAGGAGGGTGGGGTCTCGAGTCCTGGTGGGGGGCTTGGGAAGCAGACTCAGGTCCTGACAGCTAGAACTGGGAGGGAATGGGGGCCCACTAGAGCAGGGGTGGGAGGAGGGCATGAAGGCCTGTGCGTGTCTGGGCCAGCAGCAAGCGCTGCAGTGCCCACAGGGTCATCAAGCGTTACTGTCACTCAAGTCACTGTCTTCGTGGCTGGGGCTGTGGCAGCTGGTTTACTGTCTCCTAAGATCGCCGTGCCTGTGCAAGTCTTCCTTCTGGGTGGGTCTGTAACGGTTCCTCAGCAGGTATTTTTGTGTCTCTGGAAGCATTTCCCCCTTCTTCATCCTCCTGTCGACTCTGCATCCCAGCTCCTCAGGACTTCAGATTCTGTCTCCGAGGTCCTTGAACCCGGGCTGGCTGATTAACGCAGAGCTCTCTCCTCTCCTGTGCCGCTCCTTACCTGCAGCCCTCCTATGCGGTGCCTCCATCAAGCACTTTTTTTTTTTTTTTTTGGACAGGCAAAGTGGACAGTGAGAGAGAGACAGAGAGAAAGGTCTTCCTTTTTTCCATTGATTCACTTCCCAGTGACCGCTGTGGCCGGCACACCGCCCTGATCCAAAGCCAAGAGCCAGGTGCTTCCTCCTGGTCTTCCATGCAGGTACAGGGCCCAAACACTTGGGCCATCCTTCACTGCACTCCCGGTCCACAGCAGAGAGCTGGACTGGAAGAGGGGCAACCGGGACAGAATCCGGTGCCCCAACCGGGACTAGAACCCGGGATGCCGGCGCCGCATGCGGAGGATTAGCCTAGTGAGCTGCGGCGCTGGCCACTGTTTAACCTTTGAGGGGGCCCCTCTGCTCTCTCAGACACCTCCTCTCGTTTTTTGATAAAGTAGGAAGAACCGCTAACCCTTGTGAGGCCCTGTGCTGGCTCGTGGCTTCTGTTTCCTTGGATTCCTACAAAAGCCTCACAAGGTAGACACTGCTACAATGCTTGCATAATGGTTAGAGAAACCAAGGCACAGAGACATCCTTTCTGGGGTCTCATAGCTGCAGAGTACAAGAGGCCAAATTAGGGTCCCAGTTGTCTAATTTTGCAGCCCCAGGCTTGCACTGCAAGTATATTTTTACAACATGAATGTTTACATAGCTTAAGTAAAATCATGTCAGTGTGTGCTTCTGCCATCATAGAATCACATGCCTCTTGCATTTAATTTTATGCAAACTAAACTAGTAGCTCTTAGTAAAAAGAAGCAGAAACAACCATTTGATCCTGAGGTTCCACCGAATGAGTGTGTGTTCGTACACCACATTCTCAGTGCCAGAGACCAGTGTGGGGCAGCGGCATGTGTGAGTCTGGAGGTTATGGGTCTGTGTTTTCCTTCTGTCTTGACCACCCACTTGACTGGCTGTGTGGATGAAGACATAGCCACCTGCTCCCGTGCTGGGGAAGTAGCTGGCTACTCTGGGTCCCCCAGGGATTTTCCGGGGGAATTTTGGACTACAGGGTTTTCCTGCTGGCTTGGGAATTTGTCCTCCGGTGTCAGAAGACTGACTGGGCCACACCCTCGCAGGATCTTTCTCACCAGACACTTGGGTCAGAGCCCAGAGATGGAGCTGAGATTTAGCTAGAAAATTTTCTGCTGTAGGGGAGTCAGGCTGCACATTTATGCAGCTGCCAGAGCCTATGGAGTCCTGGGAGTTTAGGGGGCCTGGACCCAGGAGGCAGCAGGCGTAGCTCTTCAATCCCCGTTGTCTAGTTCGAGCTGTGGGACCTTGGCAAGCTGTGTGCGTTGGAGCTTCCTTCTCTGTGAAATATAAATGATCGTGTGCCACTTCTGGGGCTCTTTGTGACTTCATGCAGGCGGGGAGCAGCTCCTTGCATACCTGGGCCATCCATTCCCTTTAACTGGGGCCTCATGATTTTACTGAATTTTAACTTGTCCCCAAGCGTCTATCCAGGAACAATTTCATGAACCGTCCTTTAAAACTGGGTTTCTAAGAGAGCTCACTTTTCTTTTTTTGGCTGCCTTTTGAAACTCTTTTTGGGCATGCAGTAAGCTGGACATGAGTGAGGAGGAGGCCCCCTGTTCTGCAGCGTGCAGCTGAGCCGGCGAGTCTGGTGTGTGTCTGTTCTGCGGATCTCCCTTAAACACATTACCCTGCCTGGGGAGGAATCAGGTCAGAAAACCTTTTCCCATCCAAGGGATCCAGTTTTGACCCCAGTGAGAAAAATGGGCACAAGATCTCGCCTAGGGCCATTTTTGCACGTATGCTACTTCCCTTTGGGGCTTCTGTTGGGGGAGGGGGAGTCACTGTCCTTGGTTTTGGTGCCTACACCCTGGTTCTTCCACTCTCTGGCCCTGTGGGTGATCTGTATCCCCTGTGCCTCAGTTTCCTCACTGATGAGGAGATGAGTCCCTCAGTGTTGCTAAGAAGGTCATTTGAGGCCCTCAGCAGGTGTCTGGCATGTGAGCAGGCTGCCAGCACCATTGCTGTGACTCCTGGCCTGCCTGCACGCCCTCCCTCCAACAGGCTGTGCCGGGGAGCACCGAATAGCCGACCCCAGACCCATCCCAAGCACTGTGCCGTACAGCCGCCACCTGTGGGTCCCCCAAGAATCCATATGCATGTACTCTTGTCCAGCAACCATGTGTCCTGCGTGTCCCCTAATGACGTCACTGGAGAGACCTGGAGAGAGGCAGGCGGGTCGTGGTGGTTTTCTGTAAGGCAGGGTTTTTCTGCATTGGCACTCTTGTAGTACGAGGACGTCCCCAGGAATGCCAGCATGTGAGGTCCTGTAGGAAGGGAGAGGCTGTGCTTGAGTTCCCAGCACCTTCTGGTCTAACGAGGCAGCCTCAGGCCAGACAGGACTTGACTGTTGGTGGTGTCCCCACCAAGCCC